AAAAAAAAATGTACTTAAAAAGAAAATCCTGCCATCAAGAGATGAATGGATAAACAAAATGTCCATCCATACAATGGAATAATACTCAGCCACACGGAGAAATGAAGTCTTGATGATTGCTACCACCCGCATGAGCCATGAAAACATGCTGAGTGGTCAGTCAGTCACAAAAGTGCAAATACTGTACGTTCCCACATATGTGAAGTATCTGGAATAGGCAAATGTATTGAGACCAAAGTTTGTCAGTGGTCACCAGGGGTGAGTGGGAGGAGGAAAGGAGCCTATAGCTTAAGGCTCACTGAGTTTCTGCATGAGGTCACAGAAAACTTCTTGAAATGGATAGTGGTGATGGTAGCACAACATGATGGATGTAATTCATGTCACTGAATTGCACACTTTAAAACAGTTACAATGGCACATTTTTAAATATATATTTTACCACAATAAAATAAAAGAACAAAGGAGAGATCTCTGGTTGACAGAGCACAGGCCCTAAGGAAACGTGCTGAAATGCTGTGATTGTCTGATGCCACAACCCACCCCTCGCCCCCAGGCTCAAGCCTGCCCACCACGCCCAACGGCAGACAGAGGTGTAAGCAGACGCTGCCCATGGCCAAGACCCCAGAGGGGTGGCTGAAGGCCAACAGGCCCTGCTGACAGGGTCCACCAGCCACCCTCCCCCAGGTTGGAAACACCCCACCCTCCATGTGGGGGGAGGAGTCCGGGTGCGGGCTCTGAGAGGCAGGAGTGGGCTTCTCCTCTAGCTCCAGAGCCTGGGACCTTGACCACAGGAGGCAGCAGTGGGACGGGGGCTCTCCCTACACACAGGGCTGGGGACAGCCCCACTCCAGTTTACACTGACGCTGGCACATGCCAGGTATGTTGGAGAACTGCAGGTATGCGCGTGGGGCCCCTAGCTCTGGTCAGCATGCGGACAGAGCCTTCCACGTCACACAACCCTAGCAGGGCCTGGCAAGAAAGCCTTGCCCTGGCTGACACCACTGGTCAAGCCAGTAAACTCCACCAACCTGCCCACATGGTCACCCACCCCAGGACACTCACCCCCTCAGACACCTGACCAGCTGGAGGTGACATGATCACAGATGGCGAGGAGGATGTCAAGGCCTCCTACAAACCCTGGTCTCCCATTTCTATCTCCTGTTGGGTACTGTGGGCATGGCCTGTTTTTCCTTCTGTCTCTCTTCACAGCTACCCCGACTGCTCCTTGCCAGGGCACTTTCTGCTTTTTCCTGGATGCTGAAGGATTCAGTCCCTTGCGGGCCTCTGTGCTAGGTCTCAGTTATATGAAGGCGTGAGGCTGAAAGGGCGTGTGCTCCATCCTCCATGATGGCTGCTCCCTGTCTGTGAGCACCCCTGCTCCCCCAAGGTGCCTGAGGCCAGTCTGGGGAGCCTCCTGACTCTCGTCCACATGCCTCCCCCACCTGTGGAACCGTCTGGGAGGCGACTTTTGGGGAGAGTAAGAAAGCTGCCCCATATGCATTCTGTCAGTCTTCGGATGACCTTAAGAAGGAGGTCTCACTGGGATTCCAGGATATCTTTGGCATCCAACACTTGCTAATCAGTTTTTATCAACAGAAAGCAGATCTCAGTCCAATGCCAGTCGACCCGGATGTGCCAGCGCTGCAGGAACATGGCTCTGCTTCCACTGTTTTACTTTGTGAAGTTGTCTTCCACTTACGACAGCTGCTACTGGTGTTACCTTTGCAGTAGCTTCCTTTTTAAATAATTTTTTTTTTTTTAAGTATGCTTGTTGATTTAAACCAACAAGGATAAACTATGGAGTAAGCCAGCACTGTAACGTTCTAAAACACAGCACAGGTCCAGCCTCATGTGGCCAGGGGGTGGCTCGCGGGCTCAGGAGAGGCCGGGCCAAGGGGGGCCTGGTATCAGGACCTGGTGAGGCAGCAGGAGCCCATCCACCTCCAGGGCCTAGAGATGCTTTCCATGGCCAGCTGCTGTCTCCACCTCCAGCAGCTCGTGTGCAGCCCAGGCTCCCTCCCAACATTTAACAGTTTCCCCAAAGGACTCTCAACACTCAGCCAGCATTTCCTAAGCCTCAGCACTCACAAACACTGCCCTCCCTGCATGCCCCATTACAGGTGGAACCGTGCCCCCAAAGGGTATGTTCACTCCTACCCTGGTACCTGCGAACGTGACCTTGTTTGGAAACAGGGTCTTTGCAGATGTTATCAGTTAACATGAGGTCATCCCGCAGTTGGGGGCCCTAATCCTATATGACTGGCACCCTGATAAGACAGCAGAGGAAGACAGAGAAACACACACGTGAAGATGAGGGCAGAGGCTGGAGAGATGCTGCCGCAAGCCGAGGCAGGCCTGGGCCCACCAGAGGCTGGAAGACGTTTCAGGGGGGCACGGCCCTGCTGGCGCCTTCATTTTAGACTTCCGGCCTCCAGAACTGTCAGAGAATGAATTGTTGTTCTAAGCCACCCAAGCCTGTGGTAATTTGTTACTGCTGGCCCAGGAAACTAAGACTCCACCTCTATTAGTTACTTAGTATTTGTTCTCTAAATTCACTCCATTTTTAGACTTACACGTAAAGTGTAAGGGAACCTCTGTACAATGTAACACTGAATAGTGTTGGTAGCTTCACAGAACTGATGTCTAGCACTAATTTCAATAGGAATCAAAGTAAATACGTAGTTACTGAATTTAAAAACGCATCTGTGTGCCACACAAAATCATCGGGGCCTGGGACCCACTCAGGACACAGAGCACACTGGCCTATTACACGCATGTGCAGCACTGGGCGGGTGCTGACCTGGACAAGCCACGATGTGGGGGCTGGTCAACCACATCCCCCAGGCCATGTGGTGGCCACCTCACAGGGACCCGAGGGGTCACCTGGGAGGCTCTCCACACAGCCTAACCTAATGCCTCCATCGGCGCCCACATAACCAGGACCCAGGCTTATTCAGGGCTCCTCTAGGCAGGGCTCAAGGTCCACCACTACCAGGCCCCAGACAGCCCCTCTCCTCTGCCCCGCTCCTCCAGAAGGCTGGCCTGATCCCAGGTGTTGCGTCCTTTCCTACTGCCCTTCACCCGGACAGCAGGCCTTTGGGGCAACAGCATGGGGGAGGAGGGGAGGTAGGGAGGGCCCCACCTTCACCTTTCTCCGTGAAAAAGTAAAGTAACAGGGGCCAGAAATGAAAATGACCCCAACAATGCCCTCAAAGACAAAACAGAAAACAAAAGGGCACAAACTCAAAGCCACCACATTTAAGCCCAGTCAGCAAGAATTCGCTCAAAACACGCGAGACCTTTCCTGATAAACTGGAGTTCCTTGTTCCGTCTCACTGCCTTCGCATATAACCCCTTTATTGCAGACACACTGTCACAGGTGTGGCCAGCACGAGTCCCCGCCCCCATATGCCACAAGCTCCCCGCCCAACACCCACAGCTCATCACCAGGCTGCGGGAGCACTAGGGCCGCGCTCCTTCTGGGCTGTGAGGACATGACTGCTTCCCTTCTAATCTCTCAGAGCACAGCTCGCCAGCCCTGCCTGGGTTACGCACCACGTGGGGGGTGGACAAGTAAGTGTTACCATTTCCTGTGCCACGTCCTCAGGCGTCTCCTTCTCTAGATCGAAGGTGAACTCTATGGCTCCGTTGTCCTTGGGTTTCCCTTTCAGCTTCTTGGGGTCTTCAACCCAGAGCCGGAGGGCAATGGTGGACTTGCGGCCATGGTCCTCCTCTGCCAGCTCCACTCGGACCCCTGTGTCCTCCGCAAAGAAGGCATGGCTCAGGAGGTCCTTGATCTCATACCTGCGGGAAGGGCAGCAGCCTGACGGGGGGTCGTCCTTCGGGGCACACACGCCCAGATTGGCCCTCCTGAGCCAGATTCCCGGGGGCCTGGCACAGCCATGGAAGAGGGCAGGAAAAAGGCCTGTGGTGTGACAGGGGTTAAGCATAGCCCCTCCTGTCACGGCTGTCACAGCCCAGCCACACAGCCTGCGTCACTAGAAAGTTCTCCCTCCACACAGCCCACCTGGCAGGCCAGGCGCTGCCCTTGAGGGCAGCACCCAGAGTTCACATGTGCATTCCTTAGTGCCCAGGGGACGAAGGAAGTGACAAAGTGGTATGGTCTCACTACATAATATTTTAAGGCTTCCTGTGATTCCTCATTATAAAAATGAAATGTGCTCACTGTACAAAATCCCATGAATACAAAGAACTTTAAAACGTTAGGCTTCCGCAATGCAGCTACAAGCACTCGTCACACAGATCTCTGGCTCTAAGACTACAAAGCCCTGCGCCTGAGTGGCCAGAAGGGACAAAGCAGAGGGCTTGGGGCGGCCCCCGCTCCATGGGAGCAGTGACATGCTGAGGGAGCCCTCCTTCCGGAGGAGGGGCTGGTAAGGCGGACATGTGGGGCTCCCCTGGCCAGGGTCCCGGGGCACTGGGCGGGCCTGGCAGCTGCAGCGCACTGAGTGAGGGAGCAGACGGGCTGGGAGGTGAGCAAGGCCAAGAATCTGCAGGACCTGATGTCCACCCGAAGGGCTCTGAGCAGGGAACCACCCAGGGGTCAGGCTGCTGTGTGGAGAAGGAACGGACACTACAGCAACCAATGCCTGCTCTTTACTGTCTTGCCCTCAGAACGCCCATCCCTGCACACCAGCTTTGCCTGCCTCTTCTAAAGTCACATATACGTGGACTCATACAGGAGGCACCATTTGGTGTCCGGCTTCTCCCACTGGTCACGTCTGAGAGTCATCAGGCTGGTGTGTGTCCCCAGCTCACCCCGTTCATGCTGAGCAGTGCTGCCACATAGGGCACCCCTGCTGATGAACCTGGGGTCTCGGGCACACCGTTCTGTGGGTCTGTGCCCAGCAGGGGACTGTGGGAGAACGGTTTCCAGCAAAGATGACAAACGTCTTCAGAGCTGTTTTCTAAGGAGAGAAGAGTGCTGCCTTTGGGGGAGGAGGGAGAGGCTGTGAGCCCCTCACAGGGGACTTGGGGGGCTGACAATGTTGTTTCTTGATCAGGTGGTGGTTTCACATGGCTTGACTCTACACTGTTGTTTCTGTACTGCCCTGATGTGAGTGATATTTCACAATCTAGTTTTTTTTTTAAAGACTAAAATGTGATAACCTTCAGGGGCAGGAGAGAAGACACAGAGGTCAGGGCAGAGTCACTGCTGAGAGATGATCGTAGCCATGGGGACAGACAGGGAGCAGTGCTGGGGGAGGGTGACAGCACACAGTGTTGTGAGGTGTACGGGGTGGGAGGGGAGAAAGAAGGGCAGAGGAGGAGGTGAGGAGAGGTGTGGAAGGAGTAGAGGAGGAGGTGTGGGGAGAGGTGGGCAGAGCAGGGGTCGGGGAATGGGCAGGAGGAGGGCCTAGAGGAGTACAGGGGTAGAAGGAGGTTGACGGGGAAAGACAAAGTAGAAGGGAGAAGGAGGTGGAGGGTGGGAGGAAAGCCACAGAAGCAGCCCAGCCTTCTGGCTGACAGTGGAGAAGGAGGTGCCCTGACCTGAGGTGGAGGAGTGGGTTCTACAGGCCAGCTCAGGGGCACAGAATGGGCATGCTACTTCTGAGATGGGTCAAATAGGTATGTAAATTATACAGCTTGGGGTTCAGAAGAGAGGTCAGGACTGAAGATGCATCTGGGGAGTGCCTGGCATGGGGGTGTTATGTCATCTAAGGCCATGGATGTGGATAAGTCCACTCGGGGACAATACAGACAAAAAGGAAAGAGAAGAGGGCAGGGCCCCAGGAGCTCAACCAGCCAAGGCTGGGCAGGGGGAGGAGAAGCCTGTAAAGGATAGAAGAGGCAGAGGGGAGGGAGGCTCCAGGACACCGTGCACCAGGAAGGTGGGGAAGTGGGGTGAGGGCTCTCTGACACCAGTGTGCTGGCCCAGGGGTTGCTGGTGTGCACCCAGGGCCAATCTGTGCAGCAGCCTATCTGCATGCCAAGACTCTGTGTGCTTAAGTCCGTCTTGTCATCCTTTGAACTTCTCTTTTTCTCTCAGGAATACAGCTCCAAATACCAGTTGAGATAATTCACCTGCAGAAATATCACAGAACCCAACCCCAGGACTCACCTTTCCTCTTTGTTTTTACAGATACACTCCCCAATAATCTCCTTGATCTCAGGATCATGCACTTTCTCAAAGCTGGCTGGCTTGATACCCTGAAACAAGATAAGGAGGGTTATGTGACCTAGCATGACACCCAGGACTGGATGCTCCAAGGCACAGTCCCCTGCAGTGCAGGGAGCATCCACTCCCACCCATAGTGGAACAGTGACTGGACTTAACTCATAAACTACTAGAAAACTGGACAAAACACGTAAAACAATGATGCCAGGTACTCAGCAACAGGCAGTACAGGGTGGTGAAGTCAGAGAAAGGACACAAAGGAGGCAGACCCTCCCACCGTCCCAGTTTACTGCCTGAAGACAGGTTCCAGACTGTTGGCAGGGAGGGAACCCCCGAACTGAGGGGGTAGAACTCAGAGTTCAGGGACGCTGAGGAGGCAGAGTTCCAGAAAGGAGTGACCTATGCAGAAAAAGAGTAAAGACATCTGCATATGGGTCCCCATGAGTCTTTGCTGAGCACAAGACCACATGAGCAAAGTGAACTCCACAAGGCTGGGCAGAGAATGACTGGGGAGTGGTAGGCAGAATAATTCCCAGAGTTCACATGGAGGGGGGATATAACGTGTAGTATCCAATCGAAGATTACAAGATATGCCAAGAAGTAGGAAAATGTGATCCGTAACATAGCAGAAAAATCAATCAACAGAAATAGACCCAGAAATGAGACACTAGAACTTACAGAAAAGCATTTTAAAAGTTATTATAGCTGTTTAAAGGAAAGTGTTAAAATGAAAATGAACATTATGAGGAACAGAATGGTAGATATAAAAGAACCAAACAGAACTAGAGACGAAAAACACAGTATCTGAAATGAAACATCCACTGGAATAGACTAACAGGAGATAAGAAGACATCTCAGAAGAAAACATGAGTGAACTTGAAGACACAGTAAAAGAATCTATCTGAAATGAAGCACAGAGAGAAAAAAGGACATGAGGCTCTGTTCGGTTAATCTCACTCTTTGGGATAATATCAAGTGGTCAAATATACATGCAACATACATGTAACTGAAATCCTAAGAGGATGGGGGCAGTGTGGAATAGAAAAATTGTTTGAAGAAATGATGGCCAAAGATTTTCAAACTTTGATGAAAACTATACACCCACAGATCCAAGAAGCCCAACACACCCTAAACGAAAAAAAAAACCGAACCCGTTGCCATCAAGTCGATTCCAACTCATAATGACCCTACAGGACAGAGTAGAACTGCCCCATAGGGTTTCCAAGAAGTGGCTGGTGGATTTGAATGGCCGACCTTTTGGTTAGTAGCCATAGTTCTTAACCACCGTGCCACCAGGGCTCCCAACACACCCTAGGCAAGATAAAGCAGTGCATGGAATGAGTGTGTGAAGCCACTCTGCAATAGCCCCTGTAAATCTCTCCTCTTCACTGCTTCAAGCCAATAGCCTGGTTTTCTTATTATTGAGGTCTCCTTGAAGAGACAAACTCTCTGGAAAATACCTCTCAGTTTACCCACACCATTTGTTGAAGCGTTAGGCTCCCCAGGGTCACATTCAAGGTCAAGTCCCTCACCTCACATGTCAAATGTCACTTAGGCAACAACACAAAGCACAAGCCTCAACCTCAGCTGCAGAATTTGATACTGGGTTTAACACCTCAAATATAGCATTTCATTTCTGGAAAGGGGTGGTGGATCAGAACTTGGCTGCAGAGCCTGCTCCTCAATTGGGCCAGCAATGTCCATGTCAAGCCAAATATAGCAGTAGGGAGAGCTGTCCATGATGGATCTGTCATGGGGGTCTCCGAGTCCAAAATACAGACACAGCTCCTGCTGCTTTGCAGACGGGGAAACTGAGGCTCAGAGACACCCAGGGACTGGCCTAATGCCACACAGTGGGGCAAGGGTGAGGATCCCAACCACCTGCCTCTGTCCTGCCCACCTGACACTAACATCAAAGAGAGGGAAGTGCCCAACAGGCTTGTTCTGTGGGGATTCCATTTCACTTTGGTTTGAACCTCTACCTAGGGACTGCTGTAAGTGCGGCCTGGAAAGTGAGACATGACAGCTGACATCATACCACACCTCACTGCCACTGCAGAGGGCTTGCTTCACCAGACCAGCAACACCCATGCAGAGGACACCCCACTGGAGGGCATCGCTCGCCCCGCCTCCTCCACCCCTTCCACCAATCCTCACCATGAACACTGGCCTGGGCACCTGATGCTGTGTCTCTTACAACCCTCACAGCTACCTTACAGGAGAGTGTGCAAATATTATCCTACCTTCTCAGGTGAGCTCAGGAAGGTTAAAGAACTTGGGAAAAGTATAGCTTGGGCTCATGAACAAAACACTGGATTCCGATCCCAGCACTGCCACTTACTAGTCATACGACCTTCATCAAGCTACTTTACCTCTCTGGGGCTCAGTTTCCCCATCTGTATAAAGTGAGAAAATAAAAATGCCTTTCTCAGTCTAGTGGTGAAGAGTAAATGAGTTTCTACCTGTGTCGCATGTGGGACCTCAGCACAGAGCCAGTACATAGCAGGCACTCACTGTTTGCTGCTGCCCTTGGCCATGCACTCAGTCCAGGAGAAGGAGGGAGAGAAGACACACAGCCACCGGCCCGAGGTCATCAGCCATAACCTGAGCCCGGGAACACTGTGGGGATGGCAGGGAGAGGCCAGTGTTCTCTGACAAGCCCTACAGCATCTCTTCCTCACTCCCTTGGTGCCACCAGCTACTGGTGGAGCCTGAGGTCCACCCTAAGGCCTTCTCAGTCCAGGGCCCCTGCACTCCTGCAGGAAAGGCTCCCCTCTGGGTAACCCCACTGGTCCAGGAGGGCAATGGATGAAGATGACCAAGTCCCTACAGCCCAGCACTATTTGGGGTGAGGCTTCCTGTGAGGATGTGTGGGAAATGACCTGACCACAACCAGAAACAAGGCTGCCAGCAAATGGATCGCCAACTTGGGCACGTCCACTCAGTCCCTCTCAGACACAGCAGGTCCAAAGCCTAGTATGCCTTGGACTTGGAGACACCAGCACCAAGCCGCCACCTCCAGAGTTACATGGGGCAGAGATCAGCTGTTGATCGAGAGATCCTGCCAGCAAGAGCCTCAGGCACATTGCAGGGGAGGAGTGCCCTGTGGTAGGGATCCTACCTGCATGGAGAGATGAGTTCCCCGGAGGCCATCAAGGGGGGTTCCACCACTATAGAGGGGAGGAGGGCTGTGAAGGTTCCTGTGTGCAGGGAAGGAGAAGCACTCAGGGCTGTGGAGGGTTCTGTGTGCAGGGAGGGAGGAGCATTCAGGGTTGTGGAGGGTCCTGTGTGCAGGGAGGGAGGAGTACTCAGGGCTGTGGATGTTCCTGTGTGCAGGGAGGGAGGAGCACTCAGGGCTGTGGAGGGTCCTGTGTGCAGGGAGGGAGGGAGGAGCACTCGAGTGTGGCGGGTCCTGTGTGTAGGGAGGGGAGGAGCACTCAGTGTTGTGGAGGGCCCTGTGTGCAGTGAAGGAGGAGCACTCTGGACTGTGGAGGGTCCTGTGTGCAGGGAGGGAGGGAGGAGCACTCAGGTCTGTGGAGGGCCCCGTGTGCAGGGAGGAGAGGAGCACTCAGGGTTGTGGAGGGCTCTGTGCAGGGAGGG